CCCAGAATTGTCCCCCAGAGCCCAGGAGCCCCCCCCCCCGGACCTCCAAGCATGGACCTCCATACACAGGTGCAGAGGAGCAACAGGGGTGCAGTGGCTTGACACTGATTCATGGGGTTTGGGGGAGAAGAGATTTTGCAACTGGTGCGGGGGGGACTAGTCCAGGTCAGGTGGGGAGGGCCAGCAAAAACAGGAAGAATTCAGTCAACATTTAGTGAGTGCCTCCTGTTTTCCTTCAGCTGACTCCCTGGCTCTGTGGAGAGCTGCAAGCCTCGGGGGAGGGGGTTAGTGAAGGAGGAAGGAACCCATAAGGGGCCCCACTGAAGGGCAAGAGGCTCAGTGAGGAGAAGGTGACACTCCAAGGAGAGCTGAGGTTCAAGGAGTGAGTGAGGAGGAGACAGATGACTGGAAGGAGCTTGGTAACGTGGGGTGGGAGACAGGAAATGCTCATTACCGCCAATCACAGAGCCCAGCCTGGCCCAGCCTGGACCCTGAATCATCCTATGGCTTCCCCTGAGCTGACACCTCTGGGATTCCTGCTTCTTCCATTTTCTTCTGAGTCCTGAGCACGGGAGGGTGACAGCTCTGACCCCAGAGACCTAGGGCTGTTGGTGAGTCAGGTCCAGGATGACTGTTGGCCTGGAAGAAAGACCTCCCTGAGTGACCACAGAGATCTGGGCTCCAACCCCCAGGGATGCCCTGTAGCTAACAGCCGGCCCCACAGCCTGTCGGGCAGCCTGTTGGGCTGCGGCGCTGCTTCCTCGGCAGGAAGCCTGGCTTCAGCCTCCTGCCGCCCTCGCCCTGGCCTCCTGCCCACTGCAGAGGCAGCTGTGCCAGCTGAAGCAGGCAGGCAGTGTCAGGCTCCTTCAGCATCCTGCCGGGGCCCGTGAAGCCTTCCAGGCGGCTGGGTGAAGTTCCCCAGATCCGGGTATCCTTAGCTGGGATCTATGGCACTCAGCTTTCTCCTCACCATCTTTCCCCAGAACCCTGCAGGGTGGAGGCAGGTACAAGCAACCCGTGTTGAATTCCTTTTATAATGGCATGTTTTCATTACACAAGAGTTGAAAGTACGGAAAACAAGGAGAAAATAAAAATCATCAAGAATTGCACCATCCAAAGACAAGCACTATGAATAGGGCAGTGCATCTCCTTTGCAGGCTTTCCCATGTGTTCATAGATCTATAGAGTTAAATAATGGGGCACATGCTGTTGAGAGAGATCTGGATCCGCGTTTTCCCTGTGTTCTGAACATTCTCTGATGTCTTTAAAGATTCTTCAAATAGCACCCCACCCCACCCCCAGGCTGAGGATCAAACCACTTACTGGCCATACAGAGGTGGGGCCTGAGAACCGGTGAGAGCTCAGGAGCGAGCTCACCCTGCCCCACTTCCTGGGTGGGCAGGGCTTTGGGGTCCTGCCAGCTGTGAGCTCCCCTTAGAGAGGATGGCTGTGCAATCTATGACAGGTCTGCCAGAGACAGCTGGGCCTGCCTACTCAGTTCCCTTTGCCAGGGACGGAGGTGGGGGTGGCCACGCTGGTGGTGAGGGAGGTCACCCGCCCCCTGGAAAGAGCATGGATCCAACAAGACCTCAGAGGGAAGAGTTCAAAACTGAAATCAGGTGATTCCCAATCTCCTGGGCTCTGATCTCAGCTGGGTGCTATCTGTACCCTCAGGCCTGATTTCTCTCCTGTATAATGGGCATAATACTACCTGCCTCCAGGTGCATAATAAGTGGCTTGTGTAGTGGGTTTTGAAGCATCTGAGAGAGCCAGATGTGATGGCGCACACCTGTAATCCCAGCACTTGGGAGTCTGAGGCAGGAGGATTGCCATGAGTTCGAGATCAACCTGAACTACATAGTGAGACCTTGTTTAAAAAAAATGGAAGTGCCTGAGAAGGTTTAAATTCAGTGCATTTCTGAGGCAGTGGTCATCATTTCAGTTCCGGAGATCATACAGTCACTATTTAATGAGCACCTCCTATTTCCAGGGCACAGTATGAGCCCTGAGGGCACAGGTGGAGCCAACACTGACCCTGACCTTGAGGGACAACCAGGGCATTGGGGAAGGGAGCGAAAGGACCATGACAACCCAGTGAGGTTTTGCTAGAACCAAGTTCTCCACAGGGATATGGGCAGCAAGAGGAGGCTTCTGGGAGAGGTGACATTTCACTTGAGCCTCGAAGATTGACAGGGAAGATGCCAGAGTAATAACACTCCTGACAACAGCCTGGGCAAGGGCACAAAGGTATGAAAAGGGAGTGGGGGAGGCTCTGCCTTTGTTCCACAGCCAGCACAGGACCCAAGGGCTGCTCCCAGCTGGTATGCACAGGCCAGAGCTGTCTGAAGGTCACCCCCAAAGGATGAGCGTGATTTGGACAGATGGAGAGAAGAGGGGGGCAATGGTGCCTTTTCAGGACATGAGTCACATGGCCCAGGGCTCCCAGAACCATTGTAGCCGAGATCTGTAGGGGCAGAGTGCCTGGCTCTGTGTTTCTAGAACAGTCCAGAGCAGACGGATTCCTAGGACACACCACATGGCAGTTGGGGAGCTGAAGTTTTCAAAGCTCCCAGGTGATAG